GAGAGAGAGAGAGAGAGAGAGAGAGAGAGAGAGAGAGAGAGAGAGAGAGAGAAACTTCTTGCTAGTTTTTAAGACTCAGAAACATGTTTCTCCAAGACTTAGGCATCCTGTCTTTGAGGTATAATCATCTCAGGAGCTAGAGCCCTTATCCTCCCGGGGCTGGGAGAGGATGACGCTCCTATCCTAAGGTGCTAACTGCACTCAGGATGACTCTTACTAAGTGCCACTTGTCTCTTTGGGGCCATACTAAGCATTTCATGCATGATTGTATCCAAGGTCCACATTAAAAGTGGACACTACTATTAACGCCACTATACAGAAGAGGAAATGGAGGCCAGAGCCCTGCCCCTGGTCACACAGAATGTATGCAGCTCTAGGATTTGAACCACGCGGGCAACAATACACAGAGCTGCGTGACACGTTCCAGCCACCAGGGGGCAGGCCTGCCCTGGGCTCCTGGCTCCACTCACCCTACCTCCAGTGTTCTGGCCATGGGAGGGCCTTCATGAATGTTAGCCAGCCTCATTACTGCCAGGGGTAATTCTTGGTGATCTCACTTTAAACATCCCTCCCTGCAACCAAACACATGTGCAGGCTCACACATAGAGAGAAAGGGTGCAAGGATGGGATGATACCATCAGAACATCTAGTCTGAATCTGCCACTTCTTCCATTCAATTATTAACTGGGGAAACAGTCACAACTAGTAAACATGGGACTCCGACATTTTTATTTTACATGTTTCACACTCTGCCCAGACAAGGCCCAGAGAGGGGAGGCGCCTGCCTCAGAACACACAGCATCAGGAAGACCAAGACCGCATCCTCTTCCTCACGGCCTCTTTCTGATTCCCTCTGTTTTTCTCCTCCCTTGGCTGCTCCTTCTCAGCTTCCCTGCACATCCTGGGCAAGCCATGGAGCTTCTCCCCTATGCTATGTCACTCTCTCTGGGATAGCACTTCAAGACAGCCCCCCTTCTGATTTAAGGAAATCCCACCTACATCCCAATTCCACTCACGCTCCATCTCAGATCCACAGCCAGAGTAGGCCCCTCTATTCCTCCTCCTACAATTGCTCTTCCTCCACCCTGCCTCTCCCCCAGTGGGCAGGCCCAGGCCCCTGAGTCTCCTCCTGTCTCTTCCTCCTCCCTTTCCATCACCAAAGCTGCGACTCTACCTTCAGGATATCTGCAAACCCTCGCTCTACACAAAAACCAACTCAAAATAGATCAAGATCTAAGTGAAAGAGCTGAAACTAGGAAACACTTAGGAAAATACACAGGTGTAAATTTTCATGCCCTATATTAGGCATTAGTCTCTTAGGTATGAAATCAAAAGCAACAAAAAGAAAAAATAGATAATGTAAGGAATGGCATGAGGCAGAGACCAGCTGAGACCACCAGGCTTGTGTAAACGCAACATGGTGTGGAATTTATTGTGCCCAGGTTCAGGCAGACAGAGGGCGGAAAGGTCATCTGTAGGGAGCAAAGAGAAGTGGGCTTTTTTATAGGGCTTGAAAGAAGGCAAGGGACATTAGGTGGGAAGATCTTAGTACATCAGTGATTAAAGTTCTCTGGATGTTTCGTGCCTCAGTGGGCAAAGTCCTTTAGGTATCTGGTGTAAATGTTTGAGTGAATTCAGCTATCCCAGTGCTTGGAAGATGCTGTGCTCCGTCTTATCTCTTTTACGACATCCTATGTTTGCCAGTGGCTCCAGGGCTGAGCTGAGAACAACGCATCTGCTGGCAGATAGGTTGGGAATTGGGAGAGTCAGGTCTGAACAGAGCCTTACAGATAAAATGGACTTCATCAGAATTAAAAGCTTTTGCGCCTTACAGAATACCATTGAAAGTGAAAAGACAACCCATAGAATGGGAAAGAATTTCTGCAAATTGTAAGTCTTGGATTCAGAATACACTCACATCTAGAATATATAAAAAGCAAAGACAACTCAATAATAAAGACAACCCAGTTTAAAAATGAACAAAG